TTGATCGTACCAAACGAAACACTTTTTTATCGTACCAAACGAAACAGTAAGGGACTGGGTCTCATGCCCGTTAAAGCATTGTGCCTTCTGTTAGGCAAATCACACGGTGTGGACCCAAACATCTGGGTACAGTTGATCAATAGCAAGCTCGTGAGACGCCAACAGAGTAATGAACATTAATTAATGTTCTTTAACGTAAGCAAAGCTGTCCTTCAGTTGGGTTTGAGGTTTATATGGACTTCCTCAAACTCTTTGTTCTTTGGAAATTTGCGATGAAATAACAGTCTTGACTCAACCAAAAATACTCTTCACAAGTCTTCGTTTTGTAGCTTGTTTCTCTCCACTATAAACTCATTTGCTGCTGAAAAAGGTGAAAAAAACTAATGTAAAAATTCAATTTGTAGAAAAAATAATTTTGTTTTAGTTCAACAGCAAAAACTAATTTACTTTTCGATCCGAAAGAAAGATGATGGCATGTATTGCAGAAATGAACAAAGCTTAAAGATTGGTGGGTTTATGAATTGCACAATTGGAGCTCCTAGACTTTTAAAGATTTGAATAAAGGAGATGAGAATTTGCACACATAGAGTTTATAGTAGTTCACCAACTCAGAAGCTCATCTAATTCATTCTGAAGGGAGTCTCTTACTCCTAAAAGTATTATTGATAATAAGAGGAAGATTACATAAGGTATTTCCTTAGGTTCATTACTTGTCCTATGTTGTGAGAGATATGTCTCTTATTTATAGTTTTCAGAGACTTTGCATTATCTTGGACGTGACCTTAGCCTTCTCCTTGTAATGAGTACGCTTTTTATCCAATTTTCATGGACATCGCTGAGAGGGTTAGCCTTCTTTGCTTAAATACAAGGTCATTGTGTTATGTGTGGTGTGTGGGTAGAAGCTAACTATCTTCTGTGCTCGTCTGGGGGAGGAGGCACCGACCTCAAGTTTCTTCCTAATCATTAGGGATGAACTGAGTGGTCCGAGTTAAATTCCCGAACTCATTCTTAGAGATATTTTGGATATCATCAAAAGATATGAAGCTCATTTCATTTAGGTACTGTTTGAAACTATTTTTTTTTTATTTTGAAGAAATTATTCTTTTTGTTTGAATAAAAAGGTTTTAAGAAAAACGTTACCAACCCATGAATTGTTTTTTTTCGTTGAAATATGGTGTTGCCAACAACATAAAATAAAGGGACCCATTAAATCTGGTTTTGATTTCCCCTGCCGGTTTGCCCTGTGTCCTTTTGTCTTTTAGCGGAACTAATTTCATTAATTTGTGGGAAAAGTTACACTTTGACCCCCTCAGTTATATTCTTTTGAAGAAGACTACTGTACCACCAAAAAAATTTTGGTATCATATCGCTAAAATTTATAAGTTTTATGGGTTGAAATACAAGTTTTTTAATTTGTTTATAATAAAAAAATTTACAATTTTTGAGGTTACATTATAACTTTTATAGCCCAAAGTACAACTTTTGTGGGATTATTTATAATTTTTTAGGGTTACTTTTGAATCATAACCACAACTAAATTTTATTTACAACCCGACCCCGACCCCGAGCCTGGACCCCGACTCAATGTGTTGGTGTGTATTTTGATGTATTAGTGGAAGTATTTTTTTTTGTGTGTATTACTATGTGTTTTATTTGGGGTATTAATATTTTATATTAAAAGTTTTAATTATTTTACGGGTTAATAAGTTTAACCCAATCCGTTATAATCTAACCTATTATAACCTGTTTATTAAGCGGATTAAAAACAAATTGGATTTGTTCTACACCCAACTCATTTTGAACCGGTCCATAACCAACTCAACCTATCCATTTATCACCACTACTTGTGATTGATTCTAATATTTTTAGAATTAATCGCAATTAACTCTCAAATATTATAAATGACCCTCCAAAAGTTGTAAATGATTCTCAAATTTTGTAAAAAAAAAAAAAACCAGACAAAAATTATAACCGCTGGTACGATACCAATTTGTTTTTTCTTCTGGTATGATAGACTACTCCTATCTTTTAAGTCATATTGCTTATTTAATTGTCATGTATCTCATATTACTAAGTTATTAGTTCCACATAACCAACTCAACTATCACATTTCACATATCGTTTATCCGGTTATTAAATTAACAGTACTTTAATTGTAAAAATTGGAAACGTGTATTTTATTGTAGATGGCTAAAGTTTGGTTTTGGTGAAAAATAGGAGAAACTAAATAGTTAAGAGATAAAGTGCAATTTGGATCATAATTTAGGGGATTAAAGTATAATTTACCATAATTTGTACTTAAGTGGCTGGCAAAATAATTCTCAATATCATCTTCATCCTATGGACGACTTGGACTTTTATAATATTCTGCCATGAAATCTTCCAAGATTGTGCCAAGACTAATATAATGACCAGGAATGAAATTGACCATTCTACCAATACCTTGGAGAGCCACTGTTGCAGGCAAACCTTTTAGGAAAAAAAAAGCACCAACCTATACCAAGTCAAGAGTTCTATTTGGTTAGGCCACTTAAAATTGATGAAAGTGTCAATTTTGCATTCTTTAATAGATACGTGGGAAAAAAAAATCTTGTAACACTGATAGATAGACGAAACTCTCTCTTTATCACCTCATGCCAGATGCGACAAAAGATGCGTCCTTTTTCCTTCTAGCAAACCATGGGAGCGCCTAGTGCCAAGCGGGGGAGAGAGAGAGAAAAAAAATAAAAAGCACTAACCTATACCAAGCCAAGAGTTCCATTTGGTCAGGCCACTTAGAATTGATGAAAGTATTGATTTTACATTTCTTAATAAATGCGTAGAAAAAAGAAAAACCTTTTGGCATTGATAGATGAAACTCTCTTTATCACCACCGCATGCCAGATGCGACAAAGGATGAGTCTTTTTCCATTCTCACGAACCATGGGAGCCCCTAGTGCCCAGCGGGAGAGAGAGAAATAAGATGGTGTGTGTGAGAGAGAGAGAGAGAAAGAGAGGGTAGTAATCTGGTGGCGTTTGTTTCGATAGAAACTGAGACAGAAACTAAATGGTAGCCCCACATTGAAACATGTGGCATCATCGGAGGAGAGGGTCAAATATATATAACTTTACCTGTTTATTTGATTGCGGCTCTTTCTAGACTCGATAGTGACAGAAGAATTTCACAATTCGAACTCTCAGGTCACAATGAAACACCTATATACTAAGCAAGGGTTGGTATGCCACTACCATCAGTTTCATACATTGCATCCCTTAGCTAGAGCTTGCTTACAAAGAATCTATCAGCCTAATTTTCACACGGGCAACAGGTACACCCCAAAACCATTCCTTCCATCATCACCCATTTTCTATTCACTGGCTACTGACAGCATTTCCACTACCTTGCACAAATATAATAATTTTAATCAAAATGTCTTGCCTGTCGCCGCTTCTGCTGCCCTCGTCACAGCAGTCATCTGACCAAGGCAAACACCTGACCAATGCCTAATAATCTCTAAACATGGACATAACGTTGTCAATAGATGCCATGGTCACAACACACATTGTCTAACCAAAAGAAAAACAGTTTAACCCTCCTTTTGTTGATTTAAAACTCAAGAGCATCATATATATCTTAAAAAGAACCAAGTCTAAAATCTAACATGTCAACAAGTAATGATAGGAATTTAATTTCATGCCATTGATCTTGTCTAACCGATGTCCATATACTGCACAGACGTGACTATGACTCTTCATTTCTGTAAGTATAATATGACCATGGAGAGGGAGGGGGAACAGCAGAGGAGTCTGCGGTGTTTGATGGCAAAATGCAGCAACCTCTTATTTTAAATCCTTCATATGATAGAGAATCCAGCAGAATAACAGGATAGACCATACAGGTTTTGTCTGCTTTGGCATCTGGGAAACATTGCCTGCAAGTCATCAATCTTCTCCCTCTTGGCTGAGCAATATGTTACAGTATGGTGCTTACTGAAAAGAAACTAGTGTCCATTGTCCACTTGTGTTCTTCGCCGAAGATAGTATTTCTGCCCAAAGTCCAATCTATGATCAAAGCTAGTGATTCACAAAACATGGGTATGTCCTGCATGAACCTTCCACCTATGCGACCCAGCTCAATGACGAACCTCATTTTTGGCACCATCCTACAACATATAGAGTTGTGTCATACATNCCAAGCCAAGAGTTCCATTTGGTCAGGCCACTTAGAATTGATGAAAGTATTGATTTTACATTTCTTAATAAATGCGTAGAAAAAAGAAAAACCTTTTGGCATTGATAGATGAAACTCTCTTTATCACCACCGCATGCCAGATGCGACAAAGGATGAGTCTTTTTCCATTCTCACGAACCATGGGAGCCCCTAGTGCCCAGCGGGAGAGAGAGAAATAAGATGGTGTGTGTGAGAGAGAGAGAGAGAAAGAGAGGGTAGTAATCTGGTGGCGTTTGTTTCGATAGAAACTGAGACAGAAACTAAATGGTAGCCCCACATTGAAACATGTGGCATCATCGGAGGAGAGGGTCAAATATATATAACTTTACCTGTTTATTTGATTGCGGCTCTTTCTAGACTCGATAGTGACAGAAGAATTTCACAATTCGAACTCTCAGGTCACAATGAAACACCTATATACTAAGCAAGGGTTGGTATGCCACTACCATCAGTTTCATACATTGCATCCCTTAGCTAGAGCTTGCTTACAAAGAATCTATCAGCCTAATTTTCACACGGGCAACAGGTACACCCCAAAACCATTCCTTCCATCATCACCCATTTTCTATTCACTGGCTACTGACAGCATTTCCACTACCTTGCACAAATATAATAATTTTAATCAAAATGTCTTGCCTGTCGCCGCTTCTGCTGCCCTCGTCACAGCAGTCATCTGACCAAGGCAAACACCTGACCAATGCCTAATAATCTCTAAACATGGACATAACGTTGTCAATAGATGCCATGGTCACAACACACATTGTCTAACCAAAAGAAAAACAGTTTAACCCTCCTTTTGTTGATTTAAAACTCAAGAGCATCATATATATCTTAAAAAGAACCAAGTCTAAAATCTAACATGTCAACAAGTAATGATAGGAATTTAATTTCATGCCATTGATCTTGTCTAACCGATGTCCATATACTGCACAGACGTGACTATGACTCTTCATTTCTGTAAGTATAATATGACCATGGAGAGGGAGGGGGAACAGCAGAGGAGTCTGCGGTGTTTGATGGCAAAATGCAGCAACCTCTTATTTTAAATCCTTCATATGATAGAGAATCCAGCAGAATAACAGGATAGACCATACAGGTTTTGTCTGCTTTGGCATCTGGGAAACATTGCCTGCAAGTCATCAATCTTCTCCCTCTTGGCTGAGCAATATGTTACAGTATGGTGCTTACTGAAAAGAAACTAGTGTCCATTGTCCACTTGTGTTCTTCGCCGAAGATAGTATTTCTGCCCAAAGTCCAATCTATGATCAAAGCTAGTGATTCACAAAACATGGGTATGTCCTGCATGAACCTTCCACCTATGCGACCCAGCTCAATGACGAACCTCATTTTTGGCACCATCCTACAACATATAGAGTTGTGTCATACATGACTAACCTTTTAGATGCAAAAGAAAAAATAAATAAACCAAAAAAAAAAAAAAAATTATTGTTGCAATTCTTGGGAATAAGATATTGTAAAACAATAGACACTGTCCATTTCTTTGATCAATATGTACATTGTCTTCTATTTGGCCAAGGCCAATACGAGGCCATGAAGCACTAATGGGAACAAGTATGTGGCCAGAACAAGTATGGAGTATTAATCAATATTGACCAAAATTAAAGACCTTACGACCGATGCAGACCCTTCCAAGACCACCGGTATTACAATCTCACATGTGTTAAATTTAATACTAGATGTGTGTATATGAACTGTTGAACACTCTTCTCTTGCAAGCTGATTCTCAGGGACAAGTTTTACCCATAGGTTCATAACAATTGATATCAGAGCTAGCCACCAGGTCGAGTATGAGATCCAACGCATAGTGGGTTGCGACTCTTTGTGGTCTAGTTACGAAAGGGTAGCCTATAGGCTGGATTAAGATGACTTGGTATTATATATGAGCATAATACCATCTCATTGCATCCTAATAGGTGAGTGAAGCAACCAAAATTAAAAAAATACTATTGTTGAGTCAATGTCGAATTGTCGATAGAGTTGGCTACCATGGACGTCGGCTACAAAAGCTTGGTGGAATGTTACGATCTCGAATCAGTTAAATATAAGACTAGATGTATATATATGAACTCTTAGACCCCTTTCCTTATAAGTCGGTTTTCTGGGCAAGTTCTACCCATGAATTCATAACACCCCCTAACGGCTGGAACCTCGGGCACTAAGCTACCCTTTTTAAATCTTTTATGGATGAGGAGAGGACTGAAAAAATATAGTGTTTCTGCTCCAATAACCACAACACAATATATGCCTAATTCTCTCACGAATTCACGAGGGACGGGGTTTGGTATAGAAAGGAATGGTTCTATTGTGCTAATAGCTAACAAAGTTGCGGTCATTGAATGTACAAATGTGGATCATGATCCCCTTAGAAGGTGAAGGTTGGCATGTCATGGGCAAACTACTCATCTTCTGTCACAAACCAAATACAAGTAAAAGCTTACGAACAACTCCTCTATATTTTTGCTTTCGAATGCATCTCAAGTAACTGAAGTAGTTCTGCAATCGCATATCGGATAGTGCTGAAGAATCCTTCATTGTCTGATGATCAAGTTCACATATTCATTCATGCTTTGTAAGTAATAGTTTCCTATAATTGAGATATGCAAAAACTTAGACATTTAATTGCCCGGAAACCGACCATGTTCATTCTGATTTGCTTGATTTGATGTCCAACAGCAATAATCTAACTAAACCAAGGTTTTCAAGAAAGTAGAGCCAAGAAACTAGACAAATAATCCCAACCAGTAAAAGAGGAGTTTGGTGTTTCTACTTGATGACTCCTCTTGGTAGGTGGTATGTGCCTTCAATTGTCATTTTACCATGGACTTCACATATGAAGATCGATCTCTTCAACAGAGTAGGCTACCAAACTTTTCTACATTCCTATAGAAAGGCTTCAAGTCCAAACAACATTAGAGATCAATGCATACCTTTTCTAAACAACTCTTTGACATCCCTTGTCCCCGGTAAAAACCTGGCAAAGGTGTGGCTTTGAAATTGAGGCTCTGTCTAAGCTTTTTAATTTCGGCCTCCTTTTCCTCCTGAGTCAAGTATTCAGTGTTGAGATATGCTTTACTTGACAAAACGAAGATGATTGTTTTGCATAATTGATTAATGGATAGAGTGAAGCAGCACGATTTTACTTGGTATTTTCACTCAGATTAAAACGCACCTTCATTTTGGAACTAAGACGTGTTTTTGCGGATTCTTGAGCATAAGATTTTACCTCCAGCTTCTTGAGAAACTGTCATAGATAACTACATCTGAGTACATGCAATTAATCGAAGACAAAATAGTATATGGAAGATGTTTGCAAAGAAAAGCTACCAGATATAACCGGGGGTGGGGATTCAATGGATACCTCTTTTTGTTTTTCTGCTCTTTCATTACCTCTGAAGGCAATAGGAGATGAGGCAGCCTTCTCATTTCTTCCATTTACATGAACTGCTTTTGGTGATCTGTTTTCAGTTGCACAAAAAAAAACTAGTTTTTAAAGGAGAAAGTACCCATGAAACTTCACATACAAACACAATTTTTTTTTTAATATCTTCCCATAGGATTGAACTAGTTAAAGATGTTTAACACGCTAAGTACTTGCGATTGCCTCCTTTTTCTGTGTTTTTGTTTGAATAACTACGGCAAAGCATCAGAGACAGTTGATTTCTCATATATTTCATCTACAATCACAACTGGATAATACTAAAGTAGAGCTCTTTCCATATTCACCTAACGATTATGAATGGCAATGGGGCAGGTAGACTAGGTAACTGCCCAGCCCTATTGGTGGTTTAAAATTGCCATAAATGTTTTCAAGCTGGGGTTAAGAATTGGGAGAGTTGGCAGCAGCACATACCATTCTAGTTCATATGCAAATTATATAAGTACAACACACAGCAAACAAATCACCCACGACATAAACCATCAACCCCCTTTGTGAGATGTAGGGATGCATATGATTGAGCAGGAAGGAGTTCAGTATCCATTTTTTCAAACATGGATTTAGGATGGGACCCGCCCAACCTGTTCAAACTACCATTTAGCAAAGCCAATATCCACACCACAATCAATTAGTTGGAAAGTTCTGTTGGATGAAAATTATGTTGACTATAGTTTTGATGAGAACAAGCAGAATTGATGACCCATAATATACGATAAAGAATGAAATAAAAAGAAATAACAAGTCAAAAGCAGCGTCATAGTAAAACAATAAAAAACAATTAGATACTCCTGAGAAACACTCAAGTTGAAGAGGTTGAAGAGGTTGAAGAGGCTGTATAGACATGGGAAGAGCATGAACATATTGACAAAGGTCGCAAGAAACCATAGGACAGAACCCAATATTGTAAGGACGAAACAAAAAATGGTGGTCAAGAACTTTGTCATATACCCCAGAACAGTTCAAATTTTTCTCTCTGCAAACAAAAGGCAACAACAAACACACACATCTTACGCTGAGGAGATAGAGTTCGTCCTTGTGCCAATAAAACCTCTATGAGCATTCATATTCTCTGCTGCCTTCCTCATTCTACAATTTATTAAATTATTAGATGCATGTTCAAAGCTCAAATAAGTAAATGAAGTAATGGGAAACAGCAATTATACACACAGATAGAGGCCCATGTACTGTCAATGAAAAATTATGAGGATTCATATAGACACATATATCACACATACCCAGATACAGAGACATATGCATCATGATTCAAGATTCCCACTTTCAGAGGAAATCTCCACTCTCAGAAGGAACTTGGTCTTGCAACAAAAGGGCAAGCACATAAATGATAAAAAAAATTCTTGCAAAACAAAAACACAACTATGAAATGCCAGAAAAAATATAAAACTTCTTTTCATACATACTTCTTAGCCTCTATAGGCAAACAAAGATTGAATGGCGATCAATTAAGACTCCATAATATATATTAACAAACAAATGTATTGGTTTTGACTGGCTACCTTTTCCATAAGATGAACCCAACAGAGAATAACAAAGAGTGAAGTTACCAACACCCCTGATAGAAATTTATAGTATTGTAAGCTTGGACATCCTAAACATTTTATTTTGGTTCATTGAACGACACGACAGAGTAGTTTCAAACTTCAAACATTTCCTGTGCAATTTGACAACCTGATATGCATGCACTGGTTACATTTATAACAGTGAAATTCCCACATACCCTGAATTCTCTTTTCGAGGAGTGATGGAACCAGAAACCTTTTGCTGTGACCCCCCTGTTGATACCTGCTCGAAGATGTTGAGAACTTCATGCAGAATTAGAATAGGTAAGCGGATTGTAGTAAATAAGCATTCAAAAACTATTATAAAGCAACAAACCTGTTTTGGCCGACAAGATTTTTCATCACTGGAAGATCTTAATTGGTTGAGATTATTTTGGAATGTCTTAAATGCTCGCTTGACAATGTCCTTGTCCCCCATTTTCTCCATGATTAAAGACTTTCTGGTTGTACTAAGAGAAACTGAATCAGAATTTGTGGGACCCAAACTGAGAGACATGTGAAGGGATGTAGGAGCAGCTCTCTTGCTTTCTCGCATAGAAGGATTCTTGCTCCTAGGTAATAACAAACCATTTGCCTTCTTTGTTGAAGACCGAGATGCAGGCGTCGCAGGGGAAGTTGGCATCGGCTTTGATACTTTAGGGGTGGAAAGTTGTCGTGGTTTGGTTACAGGTGACAGTGGTTTCTTCTTTGTCCCCGCCAAATTCAGCTCCCTTTTTATCGAAGCAATCTAAACACCAATGTGAAGTCACTTAGTAAAACAGATTAATTAGATTAATTGGAACAACTTCAAGAATTATGAGACAATCAAATAATCTTTATAGTCATAAATTATCTACTAATATCAACTGTCTGATTACGTTCCGAAATTTCACCTTTTGAGATGTATTCTGTGCATCCAATTTTGAATCCTCCACTTTATCCTCCTGCCTGTGTACTGTCACTTTGTCCACTTCTGGAGGCTGTTCCAACACCAACACATCCAGAGATCCATTTGGAAAGGTCTCTTCTTTATCCAAAGCCCCTTCTTCTGGACCACTTAATGCATCACCATCCACTTTGCCATCCAATTCTTCCTTAGCTTCCTCAATCAATAAATTTTGACACTCTAAAGCAATAACAAAATCCTCTTTAGGCTCATCAACATTAATGCAACTAACCACACTGACTGAATCGGTGTATTGCCCAATTTCTTCAGCAGGGCTTGGACCATTGGATACACTGAATTCAGTATCAGTCCCATAAATATTTTCCATATCATCTTTGCAATTTGGATCACCTGACCTTGAAGGTTCAGGTTCAGTTTCTATTTTCTTTTCCTGATCTTGCTGCTCAGAAGGCTGATCTAATAGCTCGGCCTTCCGAGCAGCAATCTTTTTGTAGTGGGCTTCAAAATAAGCCTTTTTCTGAGCAACCGATCCTGGTGTCGAACACTTCTCAACTTCTTCCAAGTATTTATTTGGCGAGAAAGATGACCATTTCTCCCAAGAAAGTGAATCATTCTCAAACCTACCGAACGAAACCGATACTTCAAGAGTCCCACCAGAGACAATTGACTCTCCCATCTGTTTATACACACAAAATATCCTAACTTCATGCAACATTTCAAGTACTAAACAGATTGACAACTCAAAAAACAGCACAAAGTGTGGGAGTTTCACAATTATGAACAGGAATTGAATCATGAATCTAAAAAAAAGAAAAGAAAAAATTATATTCAAAGAACAATAATTAGAAACACAATTTAGAAAATGGGTCACTCTCAACTGGTCAAAATACGAAATGGGTGTACCTTATTTTCAACAATTGGTGCCTCCACCATTGATTCACCCATGGATTCTCTCCAGATCAATGTTGAATTACCACACAGCTACCAAAACAATACTTAAAATGAGCACAACACAGCCTGCGACAAGCATAGACAATTCATCAATAAACTCAACCACACGAACTGACCAAGAAGAAGCAGATCTAGTGAAGACAAAAAGAAGATTAGAAAAAAAAATGCACCACATGACCTCATATGCATGTGATGTGTTTCTACTATGTTGTTTACCTCCAAACAAATTATCTAGCCAACCTTTTTACAGTTTTGAGATCTTTGTCAGTTTGGGGGTTCTTCTGGAAACTCCTAAAATGATAGGATTAATCATCACCACACATACAAAATGCACGAAGGAGAGGGAAAAACATCAAAAAGGCCTACAATCCTCTAAAAACGCAAAAAGTATGTTTCATCTTTTTACTACTCTTTAACTGTTCCTGGAAATAGAAAAAGTTGAAGACATTACAAAGTATGTGAATGTATGATGATAATGGTAAAAAGGCATAACAAAGGATAAAAATAAGAACATTTTAGCAAATAATTAATGGGTGATACAGAGAGTGGTTGACTCCATTATGAAGATTCGACAACACATAGTAGACTTGCTTGAATTAGCTTTAGAAGTCATGAATATAAATGGGGTTGCAAAATTGATGTCTTACCTAAAGATCTCAGCTTTTCATAGCTTTTGGAGCGACCCAACAATGGATAATGATCAGATCAGCCATGAGCGTAGATAGAGTCATAGAGATATAGAGAAGGCCCACAGAGAAAAGGTTCACAGAATACGCACACAGAGGGGCAAGAGAGGAAAGAGGACAGAAAGATGACACGTGACAGATCTTTAAATCAGTAATGGAGCCTAACGTGGGACACGTGTGGATCACCCTTCAGACTCGGAGTTGTCTGCTGCAATGTAACAAAAAACAAAAAAAAAAAATTATATGCATAAAATTTGTGTACTTTCACTAAATTAACTGCAATAAATGAACTTTGAATCAGTGATAGAATTCACCAGTCCAACGACAGTAAGTGATTTAATATAAATTTTAAAGCACTAGTGATGTTTATAATTTTTGTGGGTATTTTAAGATCTATCATAAATACCATAAAAATGATAAAATGTATCATAATAGTAAAAATATTTATAAAAATAATAAAAACACCTTATAAATTATTTTTAAAAATAATAAATTTTTTAATTATAAAATAACTTATTAAAATTATAAAAAGATCTAATAAAATTTAAAGGTACGATATTAAATTTCGTTTTGGAGTACGGTAAAGTCCTTTGGACTTATAATTGGATGAACTACTTGATTTTGAAAGCTGTCCTTCAAAGCAATAATAACAAGGAGTAGGATATGGTTGAAATGGAAGATATGAGCTTCTCGAAACATATATAATTTTCCAGAATAATGGAAGGTTTAGAAACAGGCATTTTATCATTTGAGTTTTTTAATTGAAAGTCAAGAAAACATAGATCAAACATTCATTACTGCAGATTTGTTACGGTAATGCCCTATATTTAGAATATTACAGTAGTTGGTGGGCTTGATCAGATTAGACTCAACTCAAATATACAAGTCGAACCTACCACAGAATTAAAAAAGCTTAGTCAAGTCGACTTATCATCTTGAGAGATTCAATTCAATCTACAACTAACACATGAAGTAATCTTTGTGCGATGTAATAATTGGGTGCATGTCGTCATTTCCACATAAATTGTTTCGCATGTTACGANGGAAAAACATCAAAAAGGCCTACAATCCTCTAAAAACGCAAAAAGTATGTTTCATCTTTTTACTACTCTTTAACTGTTCCTGGAAATAGAAAAAGTTGAAGACATTACAAAGTATGTGAATGTATGATGATAATGGTAAAAAGGCATAACAAAGGATAAAAATAAGAACATTTTAGCAAATAATTAATGGGTGATACAGAGAGTGGTTGACTCCATTATGAAGATTCGACAACACATAGTAGACTTGCTTGAATTAGCTTTAGAAGTCATGAATATAAATGGGGTTGCAAAATTGATGTCTTACCTAAAGATCTCAGCTTTTCATAGCTTTTGGAGCGACCCAACAATGGATAATGATCAGATCAGCCATGAGCGTAGATAGAGTCATAGAGATATAGAGAAGGCCCACAGAGAAAAGGTTCACAGAATACGCACACAGAGGGGCAAGAGAGGAAAGAGGACAGAAAGATGACACGTGACAGATCTTTAAATCAGTAATGGAGCCTAACGTGGGACACGTGTGGATCACCCTTCAGACTCGGAGTTGTCTGCTGCAATGTAACAAAAAACAAAAAAAAAAAATTATATGCATAAAATTTGTGTACTTTCACTAAATTAACTGCAATAAATGAACTTTGAATCAGTGATAGAATTCACCAGTCCAACGACAGTAAGTGATTTAATATAAATTTTAAAGCACTAGTGATGTTTATAATTTTTGTGGGTATTTTAAGATCTATCATAAATACCATAAAAATGATAAAATGTATCATAATAGTAAAAATATTTATAAAAATAATAAAAACACCTTATAAATTATTTTTAAAAATAATAAATTTTTTAATTATAAAATAACTTATTAAAATTATAAAAAGATCTAATAAAATTTAAAGGTACGATATTAAATTTCGTTTTGGAGTACGGTAAAGTCCTTTGGACTTATAATTGGATGAACTACTTGATTTTGAAAGCTGTCCTTCAAAGCAATAATAACAAGGAGTAGGATATGGTTGAAATGGAAGATATGAGCTTCTCGAAACATATATAATTTTCCAGAATAATGGAAGGTTTAGAAACAGGCATTTTATCATTTGAGTTTTTTAATTGAAAGTCAAGAAAACATAGATCAAACATTCATTACTGCAGATTTGTTACGGTAATGCCCTATATTTAGAATATTACAGTAGTTGGTGGGCTTGATCAGATTAGACTCAACTCAAATATACAAGTCGAACCTACCACAGAATTAAAAAAGCTTAGTCAAGTCGACTTATCATCTTGAGAGATTCAATTCAATCTACAACTAACACATGAAGTAATCTTTGTGCGATGTAATAATTGGGTGCATGTCGTCATTTCCACATAAATTGTTTCGCATGTTACGATAATGATGTCACTTTCGTCGAACTGCCTCACTTGTTAATGATCCCTCAATCTTTTAGAAGGCGCCAATAAATTATAAGTCACACCTAAACAAAGGAGACATAACTCACATCTGAGTACTCTACATTCTTTGAGTAATAAAACACTCAAGTCATCGTAGCTTTTCTTAGTGGAGTAGGTCACTCTAGCCGAACCACTTAATTTGTGTTTGTTTGTGTTGAGTCTCCTTCTTAATTACTGCATTAAATACTTAACAAGTGGTGCATACACACATTTTTGTGCATCATCAATAACAACTTGTATAAATAATTTATAATTTTTCTCTCCCTTCCTGTCATTTCTCACCTCTCATTTCCACTCTTTGTCTTTCTATGCATTCTTTCTCTCTCTCTCCCTTCAAAAAATAATGTGCAAAATATGAGAAATAATATTTAAAAGAAGTAATTAAAATATAAACAAAATTGTTACAGTGTGTATTAAAAATTTGAATAGCTAAAATAGATAATATTATTTTTTGAATATCTAAACTAAATTTTATTGTTAAAAATACTCTAAGGAAGAGCTATCAAGGTTGGTTTCAATGACTTCCATTGATTACTCTTTCAATCGTTATCAATGGAATGCCCTGTTCGTAAAGCTTATGGGTTGCAGTCTCTCCAATTTTTCTATATATAACCATTGATTATTATTACAATAGAATCTAAATGACTCATAAACTTGAAAAAAGTAATATAATAAAACTCTAAAAAATATAAATTTCAGTTCTCAAGTTGCACTCTTATTTCTTGATTGGTAGGATGGATAACCACCTAGGTTAAGCTAGGCTAGTCTCTCTCAATTACTCGATAACTAAATTTAAATTCAGATATCATACAACTTTTTTTAGGGGTTGATGATGCACAAATTGAGTTTGCACACTACTTGTCAAATGAGTAGTAATAAATGCAGTAATTAAGAGAGACACAAGTAAGACCAGGATTTATAGTGGTTCGGTCAACGTGACCTACGTCCACTTTGAATGGACATGGTCGTTGGGATATTTTATTACTTCAAGTGTATAGGGAAAGTAGAGAGTTACAAGTTGATAGAGATAAGAGAGATATGCTCGACCAAAAATGATATGTCGTCAAGTGTTGACAGAGCTTACAATTTATAGTTGTCTCTTAACAGATTGAGATAACTTTCTAGTAACTAAGTAGCTAATTTGGTGGAGTTGGCGCCCTCTTCTCAACGACTAAGGCAGTTGTGATGTTCCCCATAAGATTCGGTCAAAGGATGATGTGGGGGTTTACTCTTTTCAAGGAGGCGTGGATGAGACTCTTAGATGACTCTACATACTCCCTTGTTGATATAGCTCTTCGAACCCTAATAAGCTTAACCGAACGTGGACTTCTTTAGGCTGGACTTGCTGGATCTCTTGGAGTTAGGCTCTCAATTTAGACTGAGCTTATAACATGAGTTGGGTCCGTGGGCTTGACCCATCATTTTTTCCCAATGCCCTGTGTCCAATGGAACTTAAAGAGGAGGGCATTCAGTTGAGTTTGAATTTCAGCTGAACACACGACTAGAAAAACTTCGAGAGATTAAAATATGTTTCTAGACCTTTTTTGAGCTTTTAACAGTGTCTATCATAGCCAAAGGCGTGAGTCTTGTAGGACTCGCTAAGAGTTTTGATTTGATATATTATGGGTCCCATTTAGAGTAACGGAGTAAAAGTTACAGTCAAAATAGCGATCAACCTTCTTAAACTTGGATTCCTTTGGAGACTCCTTTCATTCCTAATATATTTCACCTTTTGCAGGACTTCTCAAGATCTTCCCCACTTCATATTTGGATTCTAGAAGAATCCTTCATTATAAATAGAGATTTTCCTCTTTTTCCATTCTTTAATAGGATTCAAAAAAAAACCCTAGGCTATAAATAGGGAGTTTCTTCCCCATTCCATAGAAATTTGAGAGAGTGAAGGAGAGCCCTTTTTTGAAATCTTTCAAGAATAAAAGCTTCTTAAGTTGAGCACTTTGAACAATGTTGATTGGAGAAGATGATGTGCAACGATTGGCAAATCTTAATGAGGAACTTGAAGCGGTCGACGTTATCCTAGGAGAGGAAGAGCAGGTTGCTGAGAGGAGTGGTCTGGGCGAGCAGGCTGCTTGCACAAGGGAGGCAACTGGGCGTGTAGTTCTGACCGCATCCCTTATGCAAGTAGGCAATTGGGCGCGCGATTTTGGGCACCAATCTGGGCGTGCAAGTAGCACAGTTCTAGGCGAGTAGCCTGCTCACATAAAGGAGGTGGTCTGGCGTGGGTATGGGAGAGCAGCCCCAGCGGGGATGGGCAAACAAGCAGTCTAAACAGCAGAGGCACCTATGGCGCTTGCCAGGATGCCTCAAGAGGTGGACAACATCCTTGAAGTGCCTATGGCGTTGGGGCAAGCAGTGGGTAGCACCTGTGAAGCACCTATGGCGTTGGACGGGAGGCCCCAGGCTTCGGGTGCTGGCAGCGAGACATCTATCATGTTGGACGCTGCTTTTGAGGCACTTCTGCAACTGGGCGAGAAGCTGTTAGCCATGGGTACTTTTGGTGGTGACAATTCTGGCAATGTGGTGGATGATCTGGCTCCTTTAGATGGAACTCCTCAAAGTCAGATTCCTTAGGGCCTCCCTGGTAGTGGCTTGGGCAACTCTTCACACCCTCGCAACAGAAAACACTGAGGGAATGTAGCTATTGACGATGATAGATCCAAAGTAAGCACCATTTGTAGTACTATTAATACGGACTCCAATATTTTGCAGATTGTCTCCACTCACCACATTCCTCCAACGGTGTTGTGCCGTCGAGCTTAGGTGAGTGAGCCTGCTTGGGATGACTCCCCTAGTGACATTGCCATCTATGAGGAGATACTTGAGTTGGGCTCTAGTTCCTAATGCCTTCTTCTATTTATCGTATTCTGCGTTACTTTTCACTAACACCAGGACAGTTGGCGCCCAATGATTGGAGAGTTTTGCTGTATTTTTTGGTATTGTGGAGGAAGGTACATCACGAGGATGCCTCTTCTGACGATTTTCATGCAGCTTATATTTTGAGTCAGATTCTTGCTCATAATCGAGGCTAGTACTATTTTACTGTGAGAGGAGGTAAGTTGATTACCAAATTGCACTCCAACTGTCATTGCTGAAAGTCTCGCTTCCTGTTTGTCAGTGGAGAGTGGACTTCTGAGGCTAGGAATTTAGTACCAATTAGATGGGGTACTCCTAAGAAAGTTGGTATGTCCCATACTTACTATTTTTCCTTTTCCTTTTTTTTTTTTTTTGTTGTATACTCATCATACCCCTTACAAATTCTCCTATACTCTTGAAGGACCAAGAGTAGAAGTTACATGCCGTGAGGACTCATCCTAAAAAAGACTTTGGAGCTCTTATGCTCAAAGATGGTGGATCTAGAGGTTCCCTTGCGATCGATACTAGGACTGGTGCACCTTCTCCGAGATCCAACGGTTCCTCTTTAAAGAAAAAAGGTACATTGATTCTCTTGTACTTTCCTCTTTTACTTGGTTTTTCATCTAGATAACACTTTATCTCATTTGCAGTGGATAGAGTGGTGGTTGGGTCCTGTTACTCTAGTAGGAGCACTCATCTTCCTAAGGTGATGAGGATGAGCGATACTTTGGAGAGCTCCTCTTAAGTGACCCCTCCAATGATGCCTCCTCGGTCGACAACTCCTTCAGATGTGACTGCTACTCTAGAGACTCCCTTGTCGACCACACCTTCTGCCTCCCATTCATTGAATCCTCCTGTGGGAACTTCTATAGGAGCACCTACCCAAATTGACTTTATGATAGGTAACGCGCGAGTCATTAGTGATCAACTTGGGAGGTTTGTGTTTCCAACCGATGTTAATGAGATTAGTGCTCTGGGCACCGAGGAAATTGTTAGCACTTTTCTAGAAGGCCTGGCTTAGGTAAGGGTCTGTTGTCTCCCTTTCTCCAGTCCTTCCTTAGGCGTTTGACACTCTTTTGCCTTTTGTCTTTTGCCTTCTTTTAAGTTTCAACTGCCTCTATATGTCTTTTTTCAAGAGCTGTTAGCCATGAAGCTGTGAAGAAAGAGCTTCTTACTGCTCAGGGAAGGATTGTTGAGCTTGAATTTACTGATTGGGCTTCCTAGGCTAAACTTGTGGCGACCCATGAGAGGGCCGCCCTCAAAGAGGCTACTTGCACGAGGGCTGAAGTGGAGCTTTTGACGACCTACAAGAGGGCAACTAAGCTTGAGACTGAGCTTTTAGCGACCCGTGAGAGAGACGCGTTCAAAGAGGCTGGGCTTGTAGAGACCCGTGAGAAGGCTGCGCTCAGAGAGGTTGAGTTTGTGGAGACTCGCGAGAGGGTTGCGCTCAGAGAGGCTGTCTGCTTGAGAGTAGAGACAGAGGTGAAGGCAGCTCACGAGAGAGCTTCTCAGGCTGAAGCAAATCTGTTATTGGCTCATGAAAGGGCAGTCAGGGCTGAGAGTGATTTGGAGACTGGCCTTGCAGATGTTTTTATTGATGGTTATGAGAAGCTTTGGGAAAAAAATTTATGTTGTTTTCCTTGATATTGATCTTTCAGACTTCGTGTCATATGAGGTGTCTGATGATAGTGATAGAGGCTCTGATGATACCGAGGGTGATGAGGAGGAGGAGGATAACGACCATGAAAGCTATTAAAGTGCTAGGGACTTTCGATTCTTTTTTTTAGAAATGCAGTTTGCAGCCTTATTTTTGTAAAAGTGATTTTTTGCCACTAATGTCCTTTTTGAAATAGAATGCAAAGAACTTTTGAAATCAACATAAAAAAATTTATTCATTCACTATTTATGTCAAGAAATAGTGGGCAATAACCCCAAAAAAGATACAAAAAATAAAATCAAGTTCTCCAATTGTTTCTACTCTGTTAAAGTGTTATTGGTAGTACCTTTTCAGGTGCTTAGTGTTCCACAGATAGGGTAAGTTCTTTCCCTCAAAATTTTGGATCTTGTAGTTGCCTGGCCTCACCACTTCTGTTATGAGGTAGGGTCATTCCCAGTAGGGGCAGAGCCAATAATTTATACGTGGAGGGACACTAACTATAAGTTTAAAAATGTCTTCTTAAGGATTAAAGTTAAAGACAAATAAATTTTTTAAATTATATATAACACCTAAAATTTAATTAACAAAAGAGTCAAAAATCGATATACATGGGGTACAAAAACAAAAAAAAATCTATAAAATAAGATTTTAATTAGACCCTTTTACAAAAAATGAGATTAACTATAGTCTTTTACAATTGACCATGATGGAATTTCATATTTTGAAAGTATTGCATGATAACATCATTATCAATGCAATCAAAAATGTCCTTCTCTATGTGTACAATCAAGTTATTTATTATCCATAGATCGCCCATTCGATTACACAATCGATTCTTTATAATATTTATAGCTGAAAATGCTCTCTCTACTATCATAGTCGCAACTGATAAGATCAATGTCAATGTCACAAGAAAGTAGACCAATGGATATACCACGTGTTTTTTCGTCTCAACTATTTTCTGAGCAAGATCTCCAATTCCTAACAAATTTGAAAACTCAATACTATAGCGCATATCAATATTATAACTATTTAGCTGATCAGAAAGTATCAGGAGTTCTAGTGAAGAAAATTCTTTTGGATAAAATTGGGTAAGATGAACCAATTTCTCCCTGTCAAAAGCTAAGAAAGACTCAAATATGTCACACAAAGAAGTAAATTAGTGTTTGACTTGGTAAAATGACTATTTAGCTCTTGAAGTTGTATATCTATGACGGTATAAATTAACTCAACTTGATAATGATGCAAATTTGTCTTTTCTTGAGTACGTCTTGACCTTCTCAAACTTTAAAGATATCGTCCATCTTTGAAACAATTATCTCATGTTTTTCACAAAAAGATGTGACATCATCAAGAAAACAACTTCAACCACTTTCCCTCATCATTTGAAGTCGTTGCTTGGATACTTAAACTAATGTCATGGTATTCACGATATCTTAATCTTTCCTTTATAATGTCTGCGACAACTCATTTGTGATTCCCAAAATATTTCTCATCAAATGAAGATTGAATACAAACTAAAAAGATTGTAGCAAATCCAAAAGAACATTTGTCTCCCCTCTTTGTTCTACATTTATACCATCTTCTGAAACCATATCAAACATATCAATCACTGATGAGAACATATCAATCAACCTGATCAAAGAATAATAATGTAAACCTCAACGTGTATCACAAGCACGCGTAAGATTAGTTTTCTGATTTAGATCTCGCTCTCTTGAAAGCTCCTCATTATCGAGTAATTCAATAACTTTGATCGTTTGTTTCTCCCTAAGAATATCTCGCTATTTACATGAGGCTCTCACAACATTTATAATATTAGTAGCCAAGTTGAAAATAGTCGTGATTTGAATATGATTCTTTGTAGCAGCCACAAGAGCTAGTTGCAATTGATGTGAAAAATAATGGACATAATATGCATATTCATTCTCCTTCATTATAAGTGTCTTAAGACCATTGAACTCACCTCTCATATTATTAGCCCCATCGTAACCTTGTCCACGCAATCTTGACAAGCTCAACCCATGTCTGGCAAATAAATCCTCTACAGCTGCCTTAAGTGAGAAAGCACTAGTATTAGTAACATGTTCAAAACCTAAAAGGCATTCAATTACATGTCATTTCTTGTCCACAAATCGCAACACAACAGCCATTTGCTCATTTGTTGATATGTCACGTGATTCATCAATAAGAACAAAAAAAAAGTGCATCGCCAAGGCGGGTCACAATAGCATTACACGTTTCAACAGAAGCTGCAATTACAATGTCTTTTTGAATTTCACGCGAAGTCAATTTGAGATTCTCAGGAGCATTTTTCAACACAATAGCTTTAATATTCTCATTTTAATCCGCAAGAAATATAAGAAGTTCAAGGAAGTTTCCTTGATTACTTGAATTCTCAGATTCATTGTGACCACGAAATGCAAGCCCTTGCCTTAAAAGAAATCAAATACAATCAATGGATACATTCAACCAGGTTATGTACTCACTTCGAGCTTGGTCTGACTGTTTGAAGAAAATAGCTTCAATACTTTGCTTTGAATTTAATAAATCTTGACATTTTCTCCAAGTTTGGTTATGAGAACTATTAACGCCTCCAACATGTATTTGAAACTTTTCTATTCTCTTCCAATTTAAAAATCCCAAACTAACAAAGGTTTCGCCACCCGATTGTTCTCCCACATATGATTTAAAAAGATAACAGCACAAGCTAAATGCTGCATCTTTTGCTACATTATACTCAAGCCAATTACCAAACTGAGAAAATCAAGCTTTGTTAAACCGTCATAATTTAACACTAAATCTTTTTTGTGAAAAATTATGGTCACAGGGTTGACAAGGACCCTTTTGTAGATAAGCTCTACGAATTTGGTCTTGATCATTATGATTATAATTCATAATCTAAGATCGGAGTCTAAGATCTGATGGAAGATCCGCCAAATTAATATCTACATGACTTTTCTTTAAAGAATCATCACCTCTGTTTGGAGAAGATGATAACTCTGACTCAGACTTTCTCTTGAAGTACTTCTCTATGACTGTTTCAAAAAATTATTCAAGA